CATGGGCCCTTTCTAATGGCAAAGATTTCACAGCCCTGCACACGGTAGTTGCCCCACATTTTGTGTCTCCTGGTTGAAGTATGTGATGACTGAAAGCTACCTGAATCCAGGAATTCTGTGAGTCACAAGAGCATCTGACACAGTCCTAGAAACAGGACACCTGCTGTTGAGACAGGAGGCATTTCATTGGCTGACAGTGGTTGGTACTTGTGTTGTCTCTTGGGCCCTCAAAGTCACTCTGGATCTTTGCCCCCAGAGATGGGGCACCCTGAGCTGTACCGTGAATCATTGGAAGGATCTGAAGACCCTGAACCTTCTTACTGTATTGACCAAGCCCAAGGGATTCTGTTAATACAGCTGATGTCAGGTGCTCCTTGAGGGGGTTCCCATGAGCCCCTGCATCACGTTGTCAGAAGCTGGGGGAGGAGACTGAGGCAGCATCAGCTTTGGAAGGACCATTCATAATCTTGCCCATTGCAGACTGCACTCAGTCACAGTAGCAACCATTCCCCTGGAGCAGAGCTCTGGAAACCAGCAATTGGAGAGCTGGGCGCAGTGGTTAAATACTCTTCCATTGACTTTCAGTAGAGTCAACACTCTTCCTTTGTTTTTATCCAGTCTACAGAGATCCTTGACTACAGCCTCTCAAAAAAAGTTATACCAGGAGGAAGATAAAAAGAAAAAAATCCTCCTTACATGTATTCTCAGCATGAAGGGTTCATCCTGCTGAGTCCCACGGCTTTCATCCATTCCACAAACATTTGCTGAGCTCAGCACCTGTGCCAGGCACTGTTCTAGGCACCGGGGTTCCCTGGGGAGCATAAAAAAGAACAGTCTCAGCCCTTGGGTGGATCCCGTGTAGCAGGAGACAAACTACAGAAGAGGTTTTAAAACAGCAAGGTACCACTGTAGAGCACAGGGAGCCACATCCAATAGCTTGTAATAGCTTATAATGAAAAGGAATAAGAAAAGGAATATACATGTGTGTAACTGAATCACTAGGCTATCCACCAGGAATTCACACAGCGTTGTAAACCAACTATACTTCAATAGAAAAAAAAACTGAGAGATTTTAAAGATAAAATAGATGGTCTCAAATGCTATGGAGAAAAATAAATCAGAGAAGGGAGATGGGGCACCTGGTAAGGGTGGGAGGTTGCATTTTCCTACTTTTGGAGGGCGACCATGAAGCCAAGAGGTGAAGGAGGGATCGGGGAGGCTTGTGGATGTCGGAGGGAAGAGCCTCTGGAAGAGGGACCAGCACAGGCAAAGGCCTGGCATGTTCTGGAACAGCAGGGCCAGTGTGGCTGGAGCAGAGGGAGCAAGGGGGAAGCGTGCGGCAGGTCACAGAGGGCTTCGAGGGCTGTTGAAATGACTTTGACTCAGACTCCATGAAAGATGGGTCTCACGGGAGGTTCTGAGCACAGGAGGGAATTGCTCTGACTTTTCTGCTGCATAATTTGCATGCTGCACCATCCCCCCATGTTAAGTGTACAGTTCGATGGTTTTTAGTGAACATGTCAAGTTGCACAACCATCAGCATGACCCAGTTTTAGAGCATTTCCATCCCCCCCCCGAAAGTTACCTCGTGCCTATGACTCGCATTTTTAAGGGATCGCTTTGGCTCCTGTGTTAAGAATAAAAATAAGAAGTGGAAGCAAAGAAAGTATGAGAAAGCAGTGTCTCTCACGGCACATCCGAGCGACAGAAAGGACTGAAAGTGGAGGGGCAGAGGCAGGACCGATAAAAGCTTTCTTTTCTTAACTGTGGAGACTCCTTAATGCCAAAGTCATAACAGGATGAAGGGCCTCCAGCTTTAACAGTGAAAGTACAATATTAATAGCGTACACAGCACTGTTTACAGAATGGGAAATCCAAGCCTTAAAGCTGGACCTGTTTGTGTCCTGAGCTTAAAGATGGCCGATGAATGTTGGATCCCTGACTATTCGTAAAGCTATGGGACCCTCTTAATATCTTAAAAATCCACAAGAAGAAAAGTGGATGGTAGCGATAGGAATAAATGTTTCAGCAAACAGTCATGGGCCCTGCAGTAGAAAGGCAGTGAGGTCATCTTATATTTGTTATTACTAAAACAATGTTAAATTCCAGTTTCTTTTGCTGGTCTTGAAAAGCAGGGGCATTCTGCACTGAATACACATCGTGATGTGAGGGATCGTCTGTGCCCATGGACGGGGCCTGCTTGACGCTTCAAAATGGTACCTGAGTGAGGATTTTCTGTATTTTACCTGGAAGCCTGAAATCTGGTATTATCAAGTTTTGGACCAAACGGCGAGTTTTGGCTTTTTTTTTTTTCTTTCTTTCTTTTCAGGCTCTACTCCAGCAGCCAGAGTTGGCTCTTTCCTAACTCAGGTTTCCCCTCCTGGACTGTTCTGTTCCGGGAACAATACCAGATTCTCCCTTGGGTGGGTCTAAAGTGATTCTCGCTGACTTCCTCTAGCTATCACCTGTGTATTACCAAGAATCGGCCCCGAGGCTTCCCTCCACGTTTGCAACCTCACAGGGAGCAAAGTCTTTAAAACATAAGAAGGACACATGTGAGTGTGGCGCCAGTCTGAGGATGAAGGGGAAGAAGTCTAGGAAGGCAGTTTGCAGCCAGGCTTCAGCGATGGGTGGATGTGTTTCCAGCTCGCCGCCTATCCTGACTTGATTTCACTGTGCTCTGGACTCTTGTATGAGGTTTTATGAAATTCAGCTCGGCTTCAAAAGGCAACTACTTTTTTTGCTTTTCGTAACAGCTGTCGGTTGGCTAGTTACAGCAACCTCGCAGTTGGTTGCTGGGGGCCATCTGATAGAGAATGCTGCAGTTCCACTGCCAGCCACAAGGGGTCCCAGCCCTCCAGGCATCAGCACCCAGGGCTGCAAAGCTGTCCCCGCTCCTCAGGTGGAGAGGTTCTGTGCAGGTGCCCTGAGTGGCCAGGCTCCGAGAGGGCTGCTGAGCTCAGTCGTCAGCCCTGGGCCCTGGGCACAGTGGGAGCAATGATAACCCAACTGCGATCACTGTGGTTCAGGAGTTGTTACCTCAAACAGCAGAGAGAATGGCCCCAGGTCCCAGCAGCCCTCTGTATCAGCTTCTGGGCCCAGCTGTATTCTCACGGTGTGACCTGGGGCATGCCCCACCCCGCCGAGACTCAGTTTCCTCATCTGCCAAGAGAAGGGGTCCAAGTAATATCTCCTTCTCTACAGCCTTGCTAGCAACGTAAGCCCCTGGAATAGCTGTCACACCAAGGCGTATCTTAGTCATCCTTGTAATTCAACACACACTACCAGCTTACTGAAGCTTTACATCCTTCTGCCAGGTGATCATGTCCCTGGAAGCAAAGGAGTGAAATCAGAATTCTATGCCCTTTTGGTGGGGGTGTGGGGGGAGATAATTAGGCTTATTTATTTTTTAAATGGAGACACTGGGGATTGAACCCAGGACATCGTTGCATGCTAAGCACTCACTCTACCATTGAGCTGTACCCTCCCTCCTGTACCGCAGAATCTTTTGACGTCAGAGCCAGAGGGGTTCTCAAACTCCTGTTGGCCTGGAGCCATTTATTCAGACAAATTCTTACACAGCAGCCCAGATGGAAGACAGATGTGCTCTGGTTAGAAACTGGCACCCAGAGAGAAGACGCCGCCTGTCCTGTGTCACCCAGCAGGAGAGCAGCAGGGCTGAGTGTAGCTGTCCCTCTGGGGCCAGTTCCCCAGGGATGACACGGAGCGTATAGCTTCCCAAATGCGTGGGAACTCAGAACCGTAAGAATGAGCTTACGAGGAGGCAGGGCTGCAGGGCAGGGAGGGACACACTGATTTCCACTGTGTGTTCACTATGCTGGGTGTTTTCCCCACACTGACTCCATTGCCATGAAGACCCTCAAGATAGTATCATGTCCGCTTATAGGCTCAGAGGAGCTAAGCTAAAATGTGAACCCAGGGCTTTGCAAAGTGCATATCCTGGCTTTCCTGGGGAATGGCAGTGTATTTATTCACTCGTTCAGTCACATATTTATTGAGCGCCGAGGGTATACCAGGCACTGTTCTATACAGCTGTGACTCGGGCAGCTGGAGCCCCGCCCTCAGTGAGCCTTGATGTTAGCGGAGGAGACAGACGTAGACAAGAGAATGTGACAAGAGGAAAAATACGGCCGGTTGAGGGGGTAGAGAGTGATGGGTGGGGGTGCACTGCACCCCTCGTGGGTCTAGGGCAGCGCTTCTCAAAGTGCGGTCCGCCTGCCTGTCTGTGAACTGTTGCTTTCCAGTCTGCAATGAGAGAAAAGAAACGCTGCTTCTCTGTTTCTGTACAAATAGTCCCTGGACCAGCCCTCGCCCAGGGCCTGCGCCCTGACGAGCCCCGACCTAAACTACGCTGAACCACTAGGTCAGTGCAGCGGTTGAGTGTTTGCCGTATCCTGGGACACTTTGCCCCCACCCCGTCTCCTCTCCGCTCCCTCCCTTCAGTGTACAGACCCCAGGGAACCTGTTGCCCAGGAAGGCTGTGGTGTCTCCTACCTGCCACGTGCACTGAGCAAGGGACCACCAGTCCCTTCTAAGGGGGCACACCCTCTCCAAGTCCACGGCCAGTTGTGAGCTCCATGGAGGGTGGAAACAGACCCGGGTCCCAGCTTGCTCTGTGTCACTTACTAGCCACGTGATCTGGAAAATGTCTTCGGTTTTCCTCAACTCTAACATGCGGATCTCAGTGCTCTGCAGGGATAGATCAGGCACACGAGGGCTTGACCCGGGGCGGGGAACTCAGTAAATGGATGCCGCCATTACTGTGTGTGTGATTGCATGTGCACATTTGTGTGCCAGAATGTTTGCCCTTGTGCATGAGCGTATGTGTGCGTGTTGGTGTGTGTACCTGAAGTGTGTTTGTACAGGCACGTGTGTGCACAGGTCTATGACCTCCTTTTCCTCTGCCACTATTGCAGAGTCCCTCACAGTTCCCGCTGTGGCCTGGGAGGCTGACGGTCTTTTCTGGGGTCTCTCTCCAGATTGCCAAGGGATCATCGAGGACGTCGTCCTGCTGGGGGCACCCGTGGAAGGAGAAGCCAAGCACTGGGAGCCTTTCCGGAAGGTGGTGTCTGGAAGGATCATCAATGGCTACTGCAGGTCTGTCCAAACCTCGGGGGCGGGGGGAAGTGACAACCCTTACTGAGCACCTCGTGCACCCAGGCCCTGTGCTGGGGACACAGATATTCGAGGTCTGGCCCTCATCCCGGAGGATCCCAGGGACCAGTGGGACCCTGGCCCTGTTAGGAGCGAGGCCCAGGCCAGGTGTGCTGACCAGGGCAGCATCCTTCCCTAGAGGATGACTGACAACCAGGGACGATCCTGAGAAGGAGTCCCTGTGTCAGGCCCGGACCAGCTTACAGGACGGCAGGAGAGGCCAGGCTGGTCACCGTGGTCTGGGGAAACAGGGACGTGGGTGAGTGGGATGAGAATGAAAAGCAAAGATTGGGCCCCAAATGGGAGGTCTCTGAATATCAAGTAAGGAGCCCCTGTGTGTGTTATTTGGCAGCACAGGAAGGGAGCGGGGAGGGTCCAGGCTGAGCTTTCGGAGCGGCTGTGGGGCGGGCCAGGTGACAGAACAGGGGCCTGACAGCCACGGGGAGCCAGCACCCACCCCACGTGACAAAGCCTCTGGCAAGCAGTGGGGACCGCGAGGCCTGGCGGCCATGGGGCTGGAAAGGAGTCATCCCTGGCCTGGGGGGCGAGGAGGGGGCCTTGAGGGCCTCCGGCCAAGGCTGTGCCTGAGACCTGCGGGGAACAGAGAAGGTGAAGCCCAGGACGGAGCCCTCAGGAGACCGGCCGGAGAGGATGCACGGGCCTTTCAGCCTCCAGATGAAGCAAAGGAGGAAGGGGATAGTGTCAACACGACAGAGTGAACAGAGCACACAGATTTGGAATCGCAGAGGCCTGGCTCTTAATATTGACCTCACTTTCTCCATCAGTGAAGGAGGGATCATTGTAGCAACTCCCCCCCGCCAGGGTTGTGATGATAGTGAAGCAGTTTACAGAGTCGCATGTGGTAAGTACGTGCTCTGTGAGCGACAGATGGTGTTACTGTTTATCACCATCATCACTGGTCAGTTGGAATAGTCACTCAACAGCTGTCCGTGGGCACCAACCTAGTGCCGGGCGTGTGCTGTGGCGACAGCAGGAATAAACCCCACCCAACCCTGCGGAACCTCACCCCCAGCAGCAAAAATAAGAAAACAGGCAGCTCCAGATAGGCATGTGGAGGCTTGTCTGCACCACCAAAATCCAGAAGCTTTGAAAGCAAAGGCTTTTCCCACAAACTCGTTTTGTGACAAGTTGCTCGGCGCGAATGAGACAGACTTCTAGGCTTCGCTACTGTCCCTGGGCTTGTGGGTTGAGCGACTCGGCACCACCCCAAACCTCGCAGGGGTGTTACGGGCTACACGGGCTACAAGCCAGATTGCCTTCCTAAAATCCAAATCATTATTCTGAATTCTGAAGCACAATAGGTCCCTGAGGATTTGGGATAAGGGACCCGTGATTTGTAGTCTTAGATGCAAAGGTGCAGATTACTGACAAGAAGGTGACATTCTAAGACCAGACCTGAAGGACAAGTATGAAGTCTAAGAAACAGTAAGGTTGGGTGACACTTGTAGGGTTCCATTAACACAATTTTTTAATACAATTTTAAAAAATGAAGTAAGACTCACTGGCGAAGCAGCTGACTCACTGTGCTGAGAACGTGAACTATCCAGCAGGTGGGATGCAGGGGTGGGGATGCAGCACTGGAACTGAAATTAGAATTGGAGTGAGGACCAGTGGGGTCGCCAGCCTTAGCTGAAGCCGGAAGGACAGATGAGATCATTTGAAAGGCAAAGCATAAGAAAGAGAAATGTGCTGGGTTCCTAATTCTAAGGAATGTATGTCAGGGTGAGAGGAGGGAGAGGCTGAGGTTGAGGGCAACTCAGAGTCATCCAGCATGCCAGGCTTAAGCCTGCTTCCTGGGCATGGGAAAGATGGGCAAGACAAAAAAAGCTCAAGTCTAGTAGAAAAGATATACGGAAACAGACAATTATTTGTTAAAAAACATTAAAAATGCAATAATGCAGTGATGGGGGTGGATATAACAAGTATTAGACTCTTAACACCTGCCACATCCTGTCTTTGTTGTCATTATCTCCATTAATCCCTCCCTGTACCTTAAGATGTTGGTATTATTAATCCCATTTTACAAATGAGGAAACTGAGGCTCAGAAAAGTTAAGGCAAAAGGCCAGTTAGCTTTAATTTTTATCTAAGCCCATTCATCCCAAGTAGAACCCAAAACTGAATAGAACAGATTTGGAAAGTCTTTATCATTTGGATGATTTAGCCCATAGCAACAGCTGTGTAACTCAGAGATAAAGATAAAGATGTTCTTTAGTCATGGATTGAGGGCATTAACCAAGACATGGAAGTTCACCCCATCATTTGACTTTATCGTTCATATTCTAAGCTGAGTTCCTAGAATCAGGATTTGGTAGAAACAACAAAGAAACTAAAGACAAAGAGCCATAATATATAAAGAGCTCCTACAAATCAGTAAGAACAAGGTTTAATAAGAAAATGGCCAAAGGGTATTTACACAGAAACTCACCAAATAAATACAACCAACAAACTTTTGAAGAGATACCCAACCTCATTATTAATGAAATAAATGCAAATTAAAATCAGTAAAATACTCTTTAACATCCATGAGATTATCAAACATCTGAAACATGAATAACATTCAGTGTCGGTAAAGATGTGGAGCAGTGAGCACTATCATACACTGTTGGTGACAGCTTAATTTAGTGAATGCTTCTTGGAGGATAATTGGCAATAGCTATTAAAAATTTTAACATGCCAATCTCCTGACTCCACAAATTCTGACTTCTGTGACCCTGCTGTACTACATACACCCATGCACAGAGATGGCTGTACAAAGGGGATCACTGCAGCTTCATTTATAATTAAAAATTTAAAACAACCTAAATGACTGTAAAGAGAAGACTAGTTAAGGCGGAAAAAAGCAAGTGCAACAATACATACTGTGATCCCATTTGAGGGAAGAAGTTTCTGTGTGTGCGTATATGTATCTATAGGTCGAGAATTGCACAGGGAGTCGAGAAGGACCACGAGAAGCTAACAACAGTGGCCATCCTTATGGAATAGACAGGGATTGGAAGTAAGGCATAAAAGAGCTAATTTGATTGTTTTAAGGTAAGGGCAGTTTAAAAAACAAGCAAAGAAAAAGAATGGACACAACTTTGATGTTAGTCCTCGGTTAAAATCTTGACTCCACCATTGACCTCTTGGGTGGCTTTGGACTAACAAATCTGAATCTCAGTATTCCTACCTATAAAATGGGAATAGGGGGGGCGGTTATAGCTCAGTGGTGGAGTGCATGCTTAGCATGCATGAGGTCCTGAGTTCAATCCCCAGTACCTCCATTAAAAATAATAATGATAAATAAATAAATAAACTGAATTACCTGCCCCTCCCAAAAAATTTTTTAAATAAATTTAAAAATAAAATACAATGGAATAACAGTCCCCCCTTCACAGAGTTTCTGGGAAAATAAAATGAGATGAGGTAGGATGAGGCTGGCACTTTAAGGTGCCCAATAAGCAGTAGCCGTTCTAATTATTTCACTGGGCATATTCAGAGCACATGATTTTTTTGGTGCTTTCATACACAGCGAAGGGAAAGAATTAAAATTGCATGAGTACCATATAAAAAGAACAAAATCTTATTAAACCCATTTATTCTGTTGAGAATCTGAGGCCAATAAGGTTTTCCATTATTTTGTGAGATCCTGGGCCATCTCTCTGGAAGAAAAAAGGGGAGAGGGGGAGGAAAGGGAGAGAGGAAGAAGAGATGAGGGAAGCCTTGTCCAGACCAAAACATTAACTGCAGTTGCTTGATGAAATTTAGCACCCGCCAGGAATTCATATTCTTGGCCCCCAAAGGCATTTTGGCTGCCGTGAACCTACTTAAATATGGGGAGTGGAGTGAGGGGGCGGGGGAAGCTTCAGGCCAATGCCACCAGACTGTGTACGTTTATAAACGTATAATGGACATCAGCAAACTCCCTGCAAGTCTGTTCACTTACTGGGCTCTCAACGAACCCCCTGGAAGCAGCCGGAGCGAGCGGGACTGCTCTCCATCGCACTGTGCAGAGACGGCAGCTCAGAGAGGGTCAAGGGCCTCGCCATGGCCACTCAGCAGAGCTGGGATGTGAACTCAGTGAGAGGGTTTCATTCTGAGCCCCCGGGGGACTCCTTGCGCCATCTCTGCTCCAGGACCATTGGGGTGGGGATGACGGTAGAAGGAGCAGGGAGGACTCTGGGCCTGTGAGGAGCCAAGGCACACCCTTCAGCGGGCCAGCGTTCAGCTGTGGGATTCATGTGCCGGCATGGCCTGGAGGGCCATTGAGGCCCGGCTTGCTGGGCACCACCCCCCGGCAGTTCCTGATTCCGCTCAGGATACAGCATACAGGATAAAGACCCAGTCCTGCCCTCAACAAGCTCTCAGCCTAGAAAAGGAGAAGACCCAGGAAGGGGCACACAGAGGACATGTGACAGACGTCACCAAAGGAGCACACAGCCGGCACGAGGGGCAAGGGATTCATACTATCGGGAGGAGGGGCCTAGGGGCACTCCCTGGAGGGGTGGCCAAGAGCAGGGAGGACTGCCAGGTGGGTGGCACAGCTGGTCCCCCCAGCTCACAGATGGGGGCCCCAGACCCAGAGTTCCACCTGGAAGGGCCTGGCAGCTCCAGCTCCCATGGCCCTCCCCCCAGAGCAGAAGCCCTGCTGCCTTTCCTTCAATTCCCAGGGACCCCTGGACCAGCCTCCACCCCCAGAAACTAGAAGCCCCTCCCCAACCAAGAGCAGCTCTCCCAGCGATGGGCTGACCTCATCCAATTTCCTCATTCATTCACTCAACAGATACTCATCATTTGCTTGCCAGCACTGTCCTCTGCTCTGGGGACCCAGCAGGGAACAAAACAGCCTCCCTGGAGCTGCCACACCCCAGGAAGGGCTCTCAAAGTGTCAGCGGCTGCAGCCCCCATCATCTCAGCAGGGTGCAGTCGGGGCCCTGGTTTCCCACAGAAGCTGCAGTCCCACCAGGCTTCCCGGGCCAGGCGGGGCCCATCCTTGTGCTCCGGCTCCCCGAGGCTGACATCCGCCCCCTTCTCCGCCCGCAGAGGGGACTGGCTGCTGAGCTTCGTGTACCGCACGTCCTCTGTGCAGCTCCGCGTCGCCGGCCTGCAGCCCGTGCTGCTGCAGGACAGGAGGGTGGAGAACGTGGACCTGACCTCCGTGGTGAGTGTTGCCTGTCCCTCCTGGGGCCAGGGGGGGCACTTCGTTAACTCCAGCCCAGCCACCTGGGTTCCAGCGACACTGGCCCTGGCTCAGTCCACCCCAGAGAAGGGAGATGGTTAGAATTCGCTTGGAAAGAGGCAACTCCTGTTCACGGACACGAGTTCCAGGGCGTTGTCGCCAGGCCCCTTACACACATCATCTCTAACCCTCACACAGCCTCTGGGACAGGCACTATTATCCCCATTTCTCAGAGGAGGAAACTGAGGCTTAGAAAAGTTCCTATCACACAACTAGCAACTAATAGCTTGGATGTGAACTTCCAGAGCCCATGCTTTTGCCCCTTCATTAGTGCCCTCCCTCCACTCCCCTCCGCCTCCAGCTCTTCCTCTCACTGCCCCCCACCCCAACCCTCCCATCCCAGGTTACTAGTCAGGAGCCTGTTTTTCCTGGAAGTAACTGGAACAACCAGAAGACACAGGTGGAGGCATTCATGCTGCTGGACCAGAGCAAAAGAACCTGATTGCCAGGCTGGGAAACCATGGAACAGCCGGCAGGGAAAGTGTGTTCCAGGCTCCTCCAGCTTGGAATCACCTGGAGAGTTTATTTAAAATGCAGATCCCAGGGCCCCACTGGCCAGACTTGCTCAGTCAGTCTCTCAGAGTGGAGCCTGCAAGTCTGCAGTTTGATCAGACTCCCCAGGGACTCTTACACATTTCAGACGAGGCTAGACTACAGGTGCACATGGTGAAAAGAATTCTTGCTGGGAATGGAGTAGGAGGAAGCCGCCCGGGCAGCCACGCGAACCTAACTTGAGTCTCTAGAGCCATCTTTCAGGCTTGAAGGACCCTCGTCCACCCACCACAAGCCTGCCATAGACATAAAGTAACTTCGTGTCTGGACACTCACTCGATGTCCTAAGCGTTTTGCAACACCTGTCCCCCCGCTGTACAGATGAGGACACTGAGGCCTTGAGAGGCTAAGGGACCTGCCCAGGGTTGCACAGCAGGAACCTGGCCGAGCAGGACTCAACCCCAGGTCTGAAGATGAAGGGAACCGCCCCCGGTTGGGTAGATATGAGGAATACTGGGAGTGGTGCCCGCTACCAGGAAGGGAGAGGAGTGGGCTGTGGTTACCTCCACAAGCAAACCCAGCTGGTGAAAAGCCTCGTGGTGCGAAGTCCCGCGAGAACAAAAACTTCGGTTTCCAATTATTACATTGCTGGCTGCCGTCTATCAAGTGCCAAGCACTTCCTGAGTGTAACCCAGTTTCCCCAGATCCCACGTGACAGCAGTTTGAGCCAGCCAGCCGCACTATCCCACGAAAAGCAAAGTCCGCCCCTCTCTGGGCTTCTGAAAACTCCCCTGGGGAGGGCGCTCTGGAGGACCCTGGCTTCACCCTTCAGTTTCAACAGCAGCCTGGCCCACCACCACATGCCCCACCCAGCACACACACTGCACCTCATTGTGGGGGAAGCCGGGCACCCTGACCCACCCGCACCAGCACAGCCAACCCCGGGTTTCATGTTTAGTGAAACTTGGCTGAGGGTTGAAGAGAGCGTAGGGAGAGTCTAGCACAAAAACTTAAAACCAGAACGTTAGCAGGCACTGCTGCCCCTGAAGTCCATGGCCCATGTCCCTGCCCCGAGGTCCCCGGGGCCCCTCACCCGGCCTGCCCCTGTGAGGCTGGGGCCAACTCATCCTCCCTTACATCCTCACTCCCCTAAACTCCCAGGACCCTAGCTCACAAGTCCAAACCCACCAAAGGAACACAGGTAAAGCAGCCCCAGGCCTTCCCAACTGGCAGTTTGGGGAACTAGTGTTGGTCCAAGAATAAGGAGTTTCTAGATTCATCCATCCCTGAAACTGACCCCTCAAGTTCAAGAGGCAGTCTTCCCAGGACAGGTATGAACTTCAACCCCTAGGGCCATCTCTTTCGATCTAGAGACTGCTTCATGTGATGTGACCCTCACAGCAGTCCCATATTATGCATCCCCAATCACAGACTGGAAAACCAAGGCTTGAAAGAATAGACTCACCCAGCCAGAGAGTCACAGACCTGGAAACCAGGACCAGGGCCTGTGCTGTGCACCTCCCTGCGGGCGAGGCGGGCTGGGTCACAAGCCCAGGAAGCCGCAAGACTCAGTGATGCCTCCTGGCCCGTGTCCAGGGGTCTCTCTCCTGTTTGAGGGTCCTGATGGGGTAAAAGGGAGAAGTGACTTTATGCCTCACAACCCCAAGAGTCTCCCTCTGCCACAAGAATCAAATATGAGAAGGGACAGGTAAAAGTTCCTTTTAAATGAAAATTTCTTTTAACTGCTACAAGGACCTTGAAAGACACTGTTTCTGCCCTGGGAAGCCCCTGAATGGGAAGAGCACAGCCTATGGTGCCAGAGAGGCCCGGCTTAGAATTCAGGCTCTGCTGCAGGTATACTGGCTGTGTGACGTTAGGCCAGTGACTTGACCTCTCTGTGCCTCAGCCTGGAAACAAGGGAAATCCCCTACCTTCCAGCTTAGTGCTTAGTGCACAGTAGGCCCTCATTTAATGCTAGTTCCCTCCTCTCTGGCCCCTGCCTTCAGTTCTGCCTCTGGGACCAGCAGCTTCAGAGACACCTCCCCCCTCACACTGCCTTCTTGGCAGCTCCCCAGCTCTTGCCTAATAATAGCTCTTTATCACATTAGGAGCACATTGCAAAAAGCAGTGCTTTCCTCTTCTGGGTAATTAGAGGTAATTAGTGTTGCCTTTGTGCTGCCCCTCCTGTTTTCCTTGAAAATTCTTGCTGGAGGAGAGGTTGCTGGCAAAAGAGTCCCTGTGACTGCTGCTGGGGAAGCACTGGCTGCCCCGTGCTCGGAGCAGAGACCTGCAGGACCGGCCCTCTTCCTGCTGGTCCGCTGTGGACAGAGCGCAGGGTGCATTGTCCCTGCGGCAGCCATCGACACAGACATGGTCCCCGGGGGCTCCTGATCTTAGGGCAAGCCTGAGCAGGAGTGAGCCAGGGGCAGCCTGCTCGCAAGCAAGGAGCATCTCCAGTGAACGAAGCAAAGGCCAGGCTGCCTGCCTGCCTTTCAGTCTCTCCTGTGTGGGGACTGAGATGCAGTGGGTAGGGGCTCCTGGAGAGGCAGAAGACTCAGCCCAGGGTCTCTGGAGTCTTGGTGTCCCAGAAGAAGTGCCAGCTGGCTTCTAGGACTTAGCACAGGACTTGGCACAACATAGACACTCAACAACAATAAAAAACAATAGCCAGCATGCCAGATGCTGCTCTGTACGTACAGATCGATGTCACTTCATCCCCAAAGCTGTCCCATGCGGTGGGCATAATAACCCCATTGTACAGATGTAGAAACTGAGGCTGCAGGAGGGAACATTGGATGTGAGTGGCAGAGCCAGATGGGAACCTACGTCAGAGCCTGGGCTCTTAATCAGGGTTTATGCATCTCTGTGGCTTCCGGTCAGTGACCTCCAACTCTAAGCCAGTAAGCCTGGGACATGTATTATCTCACTGAATCTTCACAACTAGCCCATGAGGCGTATGGATCTTCATTAGCCCCATTTTACAGAGGAGGAAACTGAGGCCAAAGAGGTAAAGGAACCCCAAGGGCTGTAATAGGCTTGGAAATGGTCAGGCTGGCATAGGTGGGCGGCAGCAGCCTCGGTTTGGTCAAGTTGAAGTATCTTGCAAGGCAGGAAACAGGAAGTGCTGAGGCCCGTTCTTACCATGTGGACGGATCCGGTAACCCTGAGCACCACAATGTGCAGGGCTGGACGTGGGGAGGACTGGTGAGTGAGTAGTGGTGCCTGCACTTGCTCAGCTGACACAGGCCATTGGAACACAGACATGAGCCGATGAAGACGATGCGTGTTAAGAGTGCTGTCATAGGGGAGCCCTGGAGAGCCCTAACCAGCGTGGGGAGGTCAAGGAGGCTTCTCAGCACCAGGACATCCAGTGTGTATCTGGGCAGGTGGCAGATTTCAATCAAGACAGCCAGGGAGATGGTCTTTGACTGAAATCTTTATCTAATATTACCCACATTAGAACATTCCACTGCTGAGAAGAGATTCTTTTCCTACCCACCTCGCTCCTGCTCTCCCATCCCTCTGGCTAACTGTACCAGCCCTTCAACAACATTAATAAGCTATAAGGAGGCCATCTTTGTCCCATGAGTCAAGGTTTCTGCTGGCCGGGGTTCAGATGTGATGGCTAGAGCTTCAGCAGCCATCTTGGGTTCCCAAATGGATCAGCCTAGCTAACTCCTTACCTTCTTTCCCTCCTTCCAAGAAAACTAAAGTAAAGGAACTCTTATTTATGGAATACTTACTATGGGCCAGGTGCTGTGCCTTGTGGTTTGTATTAGTTCTTCCCACCAAGCCCATGAGATGGATATCACTAACTCTAATTGGCTCATGTCCCTGTAAAAGTGTTTTGGGTCATTTATGGAAGGGAATATTTCCCACGAAGTCCCAGACCCTTGAACTCTTGTAGCAAACGTTCAAGGTATGTGGTGTCATGATCTTCATTTGATAGATGGGGAGGCTGGGGTTCAGCGCGTTGTGAGGACTCACCCAGTTCCTGGTAGGAGACGGAGCCAAGGCTGAAACCCCCATTTTTCTGATTCTAAACTTAGGTTCTTTATAGCGCCATGCAGCCACTAACGTCCACCCTCTCTGGAAGGACACTGCCTCACCTTGACCCTCACCCTGAACCCAGGGATCTGAAAAGCCTCTTATATGTGTGTACCTGTGTGTATTTTCACTGAACACTGTTTAAACACGTTTGTAAAGAAAGGAACAAGAAGTAGGCAGGTTCTGGTTCGGAGAAAGTAACAAAAGCGTACTGGGAATTGTCTTTTGTGTTCTTGAGAAGTCACTGGAATAATTTGTGATTCAAATGGAAATGCAGATGTTACTGGCTGAGCCTTTGTGTTGTTTCCTAAGATTCCCAGCGCAAGCCTCCTCAGTGTTTTCCTGCTTTCTTTTTAAACAAAAATCTTCCTCTGCAGCCTTGAAGGAATGTTCTGTCTTGTGCTTGCCTTTGGCCCTCAAGCAGGCCCCCCAAGCTGGCTGGGGAGGGCGTGAAGCTCTATTTCAGGGAGATCTGAGCGAAGCAGCCTCCACTGTCAGCATCTCAAGCACAGCACACACGGCTCTGCTCTTCAGTGCTGTGTGTCATTAAGCAAACCACCAACCCTCTCTGGGCTACCCTTTCATCATCTGTAAAATGAGAATGATTTTTAATGTCTCCCCCAAAACACATTTGATCATCTATGAAGAGAACAAGCCAGGATTCAAATCCCAGCTTTGACATCTCTGTGACCTTGGGTGGGTCCCTTTACCTCCCCTATGGCTCAGTTTCTTCTAATCTACAGTTAGCAGCCAATGCCTGTCAAAGGAGTATATCCAATAAATTCGTTGTCTACAATGCATTCGGGACCTACTGTGTGCTGAGCACTGTCGGTTATCACAGATACCATCAGATATTCCAGTCACATCCCTAGTTTTCACTGAAATATCCCAACACAAAACTGGGGAGTCTCTATTCTCTCAGGGACTGGGTGGGCACTTCTGAGTTCTTGACTCTTGTCTCGATGGAGATTCCATCCATATAACAGAGGGCCAGATGAAGTGGCTTAAAAACACAAGAGTGGATGCTGTCACAGAGGAAAAAGGGCCAGAAGAGGTAGTTCAGGGTAGGCTTGGTAGCTCCACAGCCTTCAGGAGCCAAAATCCCCTGTCTTGCTACTTTGCAGTGCTCATGGCTCATGATGGCTGCCAAAGCTCTGGCCATCCTGTTGGAATTCCAGCCAGCACAAAAAAGGAAATCGGGGAGGGGAGTAAGGAGCACTCTTCCTTTTAAAGAGACTTCCAGGGAGCATCGCATAATAGTACTGCTTCATCTCATTGGCCAAAACTTGTCGCAAGGCTACACTTAGTGTACCCAGCTATAAATTGAAATTCTTATGTGTCAGGGGGAAGGGGAAGAATGAATTGTAGGAAGTACCTAGCAGTCTTTCCAGCCATAGCTCTATTTTCAATTTGGGGGCTTTTCCTAGGGGGGGACTCTTATAGCAACCTTCTGATGTAACTACGCCTATTGTCCCCATTTGTCAGCTGAGACAGGCAAAGGCCAGAGGGCTAGAGGCTTGCCCAAGGTCCCACCGCTGGTGAGCAGCAGAGCCCTTCCGCTGTAACCTGCAGCTGAAGGCAGAGAACGAGAGCTCCCACTCCAACTTTCTATCAGGAGAATCCTTCCTGCCCTGGGAGGACCAGATTCTGTAGAGCAGCTTCCTTCAACTTTATTTAATAAATTTTAGAGCAGCCTTGAACTCAGAGGCTTCCCACCCACCCTGGACTTGAGAGTCTTTGAGGGTTGGAGTCACGGCATTGGTGACTGAAGATGCTGAGGGAGTGAGTGAGGCCCAGGAACTGAGCCTGGGGCCCTGGGGAGGGCTGGGCTCTGCCTACCCACCGGAGTCCTCACTCACTGTCCTTCTGCAGGTCAGCGGCCACTTGGACTACGCCAAGCAGATGGACATTATCCTGAAGGCCGTGGGCATCCGCACCAAGCCCAGCTGGGATGGGAAAGGGCTCTCGCTGGCTCCAGGCAGCCTGCCCCATGAGGAGCCTCACCAGGCAGCAGCCACCTCATCAGATAAGACCACCAACCAGGATGGGCAAACCCAGGGTCCCGCACCCAGAGACACCCCCAAAGCAGCCGCATCCCCTGACCCCAGCCAACCCCAAGTGCCAACGGGGCTGGATCAGTCCGAAGGCGCCTCCCTTCCTGCTGCTGCCAGCCCTGCTAAGAGCTCCCATATCTGCAGCCATGGCATGGGTCCCAACCCACTGGGCTGCCCCAACTGTACCAGTGAGACCCGGGAGCCCTGCCCAGGGCTGGACTGACCCCAGAAGAGTCACTTTCCCAGACTTCCATGTGCAGCACTCTCTTGCCCCTCTCCACCAGGTTCCTCACATGAGCTCTGGAGGTGCAGGATTTCTACCAGTGCCTTTCCTAAATTGAAGACATTGGTATCAGAAGGAAGAGAGGGTTGTAAGGAAACACCGTTCCCTCTCTGAGGAGGCAAGGCCAGAGCCCTGCAGAGTCAACCAAGCACAGCATAGCATCCCAGGTCTAACCAGCTGTGGGCCTCCTGTGCTTTGGGTTGGAGCCATGGGGTCTGGTTGCCCAGGGGGCTCTCTGGAATCCGGGGCTCCTATCCTGCCATGCTCCCCAGCCTCAGAAGCCTGGTGTCTGCCTGCTCTTCCATCCACTCTCCAGAGCTGCCCACCAGCCCACGGAGCAGGTACAGATTGGGAGCAGACAGCTTTTTCTCTCCACTCTTGAGAGATCCAATGAGATCTGCCACGTGCAGCCATGCTGGCAGGCTCTGCTCAACCACAGGGGCATCCATCAGAAGACGTGATGTGAAGGGCGCCCTGCAAAGTTATGCCACCTGGTGGCCCTGGATATCATTGTTGTAGAGCAAGGTGAAAAAATGCTGGAGCAGCATGCAGTATGGACGGGGAACTGGGCCTAGTGAAATATACGGGGGAAGGATTTCCTATCGCAGGAACAAAGGTGATGATGATTTTAATAATAAATAGTCATAATAGCCACCATTTATTGAGTATTTACCATGTACAGAGTGCTCCCATGGAGTGTGTCCGTTGACCTTCAAACAACAACCCTATGAGGTAGGTACTGTTATTATCTTCACTTTACACTTGCAGGCCCAGAGAGGTTAGGTAACCTGCCCAAGGCCACACAGATGGTCTCCAGTCAGTCGGCCCTGAGAGCCCAAGCTCTTAGCCAGTGTATGTGCATCCATGGGAACCTTCCCCTTGGCCCCCTCACTGTCCCTGAATGACAGGGCTAGAGATACTCTGCCCCCTGCCCACATTGCTCAGATGGGGAAACCAAGGCCCAGGCGGAGAAAATATTGACAAGCTCCGGGGGAGGCAGCCAGGAGGGGAGAGATGCAGGGGAATTAGAATATTGGAGCTGAACTGGTCCTCAGGGATACTTGTGTTTTTTGTTCACTCCACAAATATTCACAGAACTCCTACTTTGGGGAGACTGAGGCCCTGAGAGAAGAAGTGATGTTGCTGAGATCCCAAAACAAATCCAGGGCAGAGCCTGCACCTGGAGTCTCTTCCCACTTCCCCAGCTGCTTCTCCAGCCCAAGTGGCCCCTCAGGAAGACTCAGTCCACACCAGGTCACCACCTCAGCTAATGCTTATTGAGAGTCCCCTGGGGCAGGCCTTGGGTAGAGGGGGAGCCCTCCAGAGCACCATGGCCCCTCTACATCCAGTGGCCTTGCTAGAGTTGAATCTGATCAGCACCAAGGAGAGCGCCTGACCAGCAGAGGAGGCCCGTGAAGTTTGGGTTGATGGAACTTGGGGGTGGAAAAACCTCAGACTGAAATGGAATCTACAGCAGGTAAACTATGGGAACCAAGAGTTCCCCCTCAGAAAAAATCAGGCCCCTGTGCCAAGGTCCACCTGCCTGCACCAGGGACATCTCTACAACTCTGCTGACCCAATCGCCACCACTCCTACTCCCTCACTGACCTCAGGAAGGCCAAAAGGAGGTGGGCAAGGGGCTGGTTCTGTCCCCATCAATAGGTCCCTGATAGGTCCAAGGAAGCCCAAGGTAGAAGAACATCTACCCCTGGTGTTGAGCAAGAACCCACCAGCTGCCCCTCTGCCCCCAGGAGCTGGGATGGGAACACCACCCAGTATCCAGAGCAAGTTGAGGAATCAGAGCCAGGTTGTGGGATCTGGGCCAGGGCTAATGAGGAGGAGGAAGATGGAAAAAGAACAGTGGGGAGCAAACAGCCCTTCCCGACCTTCAGCCAGAGGCTAGCAGGCTGCATGGGCAGAAGTTATAAAAACAGGAGGGACCACTCACTGACCACCTGCCAGGTGCTGGGTATTCTACACTCATTACCCTGATTTTCATGACACCCTATGAGGCAGGCATCATTACCCTGTTTTGCACATGGAACAGCAGGCTCAGGGAGGTTAAGTAATTTGTCCAAGGGCTGGTAAGTAGTGAAGCAGAGATTCAAATTTATGCCTGCCCGACTCCCAGGCTCGGATATTTTCTGTGTAGCCAGATACATCCTGAGAGGCTGGCTGGTCCACAAACTGCCTAGCAAACCATCCTCAAGGTTAAAGATCACCTGAGCCAGCACATCTCAAATCGTAACGTGCACATGATTCACCCGGGGATCGGCAGGTCTTGGATGGGGCAGAGGCGTGCATTTTTAACGGACTTCTGGGGGCTAATGCTGACGGCCCATGGACTGCACTTTGAGGACCAAGAAATTTGGCCCAGCACTAAGCCACCTCAGCAGACAGAGGCATCCCTCTGATAGAATGTGCAAAGGAGATGCCTGTCTTCATCCTGATCTGGACCAAGAGGTCCTTATGCCCAATCCCAGGAGTCCTCCAGCCTTGCTCTACACACATCCACAAGTTACACTCAACAGTGGAGCATCCTGGAGAAAACTGTATCTGAAGCAGCCTTTTCTCCTCCAGATAGGAGGCTGGAGTGGGCAGGGGGAGCTGGCTCAGTGCACCCAACTGGAGCTCAGAGGGCTCCCAGAGGACCTATGGCCCCCTGGCTTTAGCCAAGAGCTAGTCCAAGGCTTCGGGAACTTGGTCCTTTCCAGTTCAGCTTCCCACAGACCAACTCCAAGCCTGGGTCAGTTCGTGGGGGTCCCAAGTGGATGCAGCCGCAGCTCAGGCTCCACTGGATCGATGTTGAAGAAGTTGGCTGTGGTAGGAGCCCTGGCAGGCGGTGGGGGGTCCTGGGTGGCCTCTCCAGGCAGTAGGAGCTGGGCTGCGAGTTGCAGGCCTGAGGAGCCATCTGAGCCTGAGTCCGAGTCTGATTCCAAGTTAGGTGGCAGGGGCAGTGGCAGCACGTGCTGCAGGCTCAGGCCGGGCCGTGGGCCGCTGTGAGAGGTACGCATGGAGGGGGAGGCCAGGCTGGCCTGGTGCTCCCGGGGGCAGTGGGGACATGGCATGAACCTGCCCAGTGCCCGCTTGAAGTCCCGCATGAAGAGTGGGTAGATGATGGGGTTCATGGTGCTGTTACAGTAACCCAGCCACGTGAGGACATCGAAGAGGCCTGGGGAGATGCAGTCGCACACGGCCTAGAGGGATGGCGTGCATCATGCCTGGTCCCAGAGCAGGAACACAGACCACCCCACCCAGCATGGATGGGACGGACACACAAACACATATGCCATGAAAGGCAACCCGCCCTCTTCCCTCCCCGGATCTGGGCTGGGATGGGATTCAGGGCCTCCCCAGCAAGGCGTGGACTCACCTACCCCCTGCGGTGGCATTACCTGGGCTATGTTGGCCACAAAGAAGGGCAGCCAGGTCACAAAGAACATGCCCAGTAGGATGCCCAGTGTCAGGCTAGCCTTCAAGGCCTTCCTGCTGTGCTTGGTGGCCAGACGCCTACCGTCAGCTGATTCCACCCCTGGGCATGGGGTCCTGGGCACCTGCGGAAAGGAAGGCCACATGATTCAGCTAAGAAAGAACCCCAGTCTGAGCCTATTCCCAGCCACAGACTGAGCCCTAATCCTAATTCTAAACTGAGTCCCAGTGACCAGTAATAAACTGAGCCCTCCTCCTAGAGTGAGTCCCAATTGTAGTCCGAGACTGAAGCCTGACCCTGATTCCAGACTGAACCTTGACCATGGCTCCAGACCAAGCCCAGACATCATCAATCAGCTAAGCCCTGCTCACAGTCCTGAGCCCCAGATGCCTACCGTAGATTGAGCCCTGCATAACCAAGGTCTGAAACTGAGCCTCAGCCGTGGACCAGACTGAACACAACTTTAGCCTCAGACTGAGCCCTAACCCCAGAAGTAGACTGAGCCTTGGTCCTGATCCTGCACTATGCCCTGACCCTGACCCAGCACTTCACAAGGAGCTCTAGGAAGTACCACGAGATTTCCTAGGTGCTGGGGCTCATAGCCATGTGTAATGGTCAGTATCAAGTGTTGTCCTTCGCAGGGAGTGTGGGTCTTCTGAACTGTTGGATTTGTGTTTGGGGGCAGTGTTGTCCTGCACTGCATTTTGGCACTACCAAGAATTAGCTGCAATTGAACTGGACTTGACAAAAGAGGACAGTTGCTCTCCAGGGCTTGGCAATCTCTTTGCATATGGATTCTCTTCATATTTTAGACTGATGGTTTTCCCTGCACCACTACCCTCATGTTTCACAAAATAAAGTGCATTTTTGTAAAGGTGGGCCCAAAACAAATGTGTGCAATTAAATTGGTTGGAAATTACTAGGGCTTCGAGTGACCTTGGCATTTTAAACTCAGATTTCGCTGTGAACTGGCAGACATCTCCATTCTCACACGTGGACTCCGTGAGCAGGAGCTGGGGGAGAGGAGGAGGAGACATGGCATCGGGGGTTGGAATGTGACTTTGAAAACTGGAGACCAGGCATCCCAGACTTTAAAAAACCTCTCTGAAATTTTTAGCCCAGTGGTCCTCTTAACTTTTTCAGCTTCATGAGCCTGCTAAGACTCTAATAAAATCTACAAAACCACTCCCCAGAAAAGAAAAGGCTTATAAATTTTTATACACACACAGAAGAAAAAAGTTCCCACACATCCAGAGGGTTCAGAGGCCACTGCGACGTTCATCCATGAAACCTCTATGGGTCCACAAAAGCTGGAATGGGAAGCTCTCCTCTAAACCCGTGTTGCAATCAATTTGGATTTTCATCTATCAGATTTACACAAAGCGAGACCCACCTATATTTACAATTAAAGTAAATACTAGTATGCAGAGATGTGCACAAGTCACAGAGTTATGAAACAGTATGTGTGCTGCCTGGGAATACACAGTACAAATCCTCAGACCAAAGCACCAGTGACCCTTTGAAATCCAGGGATTCCCCCAACATTTCCTAAACTGCATGAGAGCCCAGCTTAGTCCTGAGGCAACCAGAGGTAGCTTGGCTATGGGAAGATGAAAGAGTCAGAAGGAGGCAGGAGGGGAATCAGATTCCCACGCAAACTTCGCAGATGGAAAGGGAGCAGAGGAAGCAAAGCCAAGATTTGTCAGCCCTGGGAGCACCAAAGCCAAACCCCTCTCCCCACTCTCCAGTGCAGGAACTCCCCTCCCAGCCCCGTTCTCTCCCCGCCTCCTCAGGGTATCTTGGTTCCTCTCCATGGTGCTGAACCCCAGCTGCTACTATCTGTAGAATCAGAGTCTAATTCTAGAATGGCGGTGGGCAGAACAAGAGAGATGAGACACACTGTAACTCTCACCCTTCAATGTGTTTGTCCAGGTGAAATCTGGTTAGACAAATATTAAGGACACATTCACACAGAGCAGCCTATAAGAGGCCCTTGATTACTACCCCCTGTCTTGGTGGGGCAACATTGAGCAGAGGCAAGAGCTGGGCTTTTAAGACAAGTGGTCTGGCTTCAGATCATGCCTCAACCACTTACTCACTCTGTGATCTTGAGAGTCTCTGTTTCCACACCTGTAAAATGGGAGAAAATACTCAGCTTACAGAGTTGCTGTGAAGTTGTGGATAATAAATGCATGCACAGTGTCCAACAGAGAGTGAGTGTAAATACGTAGCAGCTCTGATGTTGGTTCAGTGGTACGTGCATCAGGTTGGGGAAGTTTTTGGCACCATCAGGAGCCCTGTCCCTCTGCCAGCAGCTCCGGCTTTTCAAAACAGCATGCACATCAGGACAAATGCTGTGACTCACTACACTGCAGTGAGGGAGAAAAAGGGGGCTGCTTTTCTCTCCTGCTCATTTTCTCTCTCCAGAGTGGACTCTGTATGGTTTCTGTGGCCCTGTCATTGTCAACCCGGAGGGAGAGGGCTCTACCGCCCTAAAAGAATCTCCTAAGATCTGCCATGAATTCAAATTGCTACCATCAGTGAGGACAGACATATGGAGAGGAGGGAGACAGCGTCTTCAGGAAACCCCAGTCACACAGAAAACCCCCTGGCCCCTGGCGACCTGAGGAAGGGGAAAGAGACAGCTGTGACTTTGCCAGAGCTCTAGGGCACCGGGGAACCGAGGCACGCGGGGAGATCCACTGGGGTCAATCATCAGGGGAGGGCACTCCAGAAAAGTTAAAGATGATCTGAGATTCCCTCTCTTGTCTTCCTGGGAATAAACCTGCATTTTTCTTTCTCCTCTTCTCTCCAAAGAGTTGATCCAAGAATATAGGCAAGAGGGGAAGGAACTGAGGCTCAGAAAGGGTGGGGGACCTTCCCAAGATCATGCTGTGCCAGTACAAGTCCTCAACCAAGGCACCAGTTACCCCAAATTATCATCCCCACATACTGAGCGTTTACTGTGCATCAGCACTTGATGTTCGTTCTGCCGTCCAGCATTCTTGGGAGGTGGGCATCGTAATACCCATCCTGCAGATGGGGTGCAGAGAGGCAGAAGAACTTGCCAGGAGTCAAACAGCAGGTAAGTATTGAGTCAGGGAATTAAAGTCATTTCTGGCTCCAGAAACTGTGTTTTTCCCATTTGCCCGTACTGCTTCCACTGTAGAGGATGGCACGCCCGAGTAAAACCCCGCCACTGTCGCAGAGAGGCCCTCATGGAGCAGAAGCCAGTGGCAACCGCCAGTCCACACTCTGGGGTCTGGTTGATGCCAGCCTCACCTTCCCACTTCTCTCTGCCCTGTAGCCACTTGCAGCCCCTCATGGCACATTCTGTTGTTTGCATGTCCCTTATATGCGTCAGTGGCATTTGTCACTGTCAGGGGGCAGCCACTGGATGACAATTTGGCAGTGCCCTTCCAGAAGGCAATTCCATTTACAGGCCCCTATGTTCATAAACACCAGTACATGTCTGTACACTTGGCACATACAAGAATGCGTACCACGGCACTAGTCGCGATAGGAAAAACTCCTGATAGGAAACATCCCAAAAGTCCATCAAAAGGAGAATGGTTAAATACACCCCAGTAAGTTCCCACTATAGAATACTATACAGACGTTTGAAAGAATGAATTGATCAAACAGAAAGATCTCCACGGCACATTATCAAGTGATAACGGCAAGTTGCAAAACAAGAGAGATTTTTCTAAACAAGATGATTCCCTTTGTTTAGAAAAATACACAAAGCAAAGCACTAAGTTTCTTTAGGTCCGTAAACAAACATGGAAACACAGAAAAGAACTGGAAAGACACTGATAAAAGTGTCTCTGAGAGTGGGAGGTGAGTTGATAGACATCAGAGGGGTCTTTGACTTTATTGATGAATTTGCATCTTACAGTGTGTTTCCATATTCCTTTGTGTAATTTCAAATTTGTACAATCATCTAATCATAGTGAGGGTTATAAGGTAGACTCTGCAGCCAGACTGCCTGGTTCAGATCGGGGCTCTGTTCCTAACTAGCTGAGTGGCCTTAAGCGAGGTCATCACCTCTCTGTGCCTCAGATCTCTCATCTGTAAAACGGCGATTACAACGGCATTTGCCCATTGGATGGTCGTAAGGATTAAATAAGATGATAGGAAGTTACTGGGACAGCGCACGGCATGTGGTAAGCACCTGTGAACCACATGCTTTACCACCAAGAGGAAAGGACAGGAATGAACGCTAGTTGAGCACCTACTATGTGCCAGGCTTACATGTATCATCTCATTGATTCTTCAAACAGCCTCAAATGATAAATACCATTACCCCTGGGTAGAGGGAGGTGAGTGACATGTCCAGAGTCATCTGGCTGAGACGAGAAGGAGGCAGGATTTGAACCCACGCCCAGCCAGACGCACAAGCTACTGCGCCCTGCCCCCGCTGCACCCGCCGCCTCGTTCTAAGCAGCAGCCATGGCTGTCATGCTCCGCTCTGCTCCTCTGGCAGCCTCTCCCTCTCAGCCCCCTCCTCCACCTCCAAGATATTTCTGTGATCACAGCCTTCTCTGAGGAGGAGGAAGCAGCGATGGAAGGGAAGATGGATCGTTAGGACAGAATGATGCATAGCTGGGTGATAGAGGGTAAAAAAAAGCTGGGGGAGGACAAGGAGGAGAAGTTGATGGGAGAGAAGGAAGAGGAAGACAGCGCTGCAGAAGGAAGGAAGAGATTGGGGCGAGGTGGAACTGGGGGAGGGGGGCTGGGAAGGGGGAAAGACAAAGTAAAAAGGAAGATGATGGGGAGGGGGTTCTAACCACAGAGACACAGGAATCCTGGCAGAGAGAGAAAGGAACTGACAAAACAGAAACTCCCAGCTGGGCTTCTTTCTGCTGCTCCCCATCAGGCTGAGTTCCCACACTGGTCCCTCTGGTATCCCCCAAGGATGAGCGCCATCCCCATACAGGTGCCCACCTTTCACACACACACACACACACACACACACACGCCCTGGCAGCATCTCACTCCAACACCACCATCACCTCTCTGCCCCCTCTCCACCCCCCAGCCCACAGCTCCTGCCTCACCTCAAGGCACAGCCCCTTTCTCACAGCCCCTGTGGCCATGAAGACCTGGCTGAAACCACTCCCAAAGAGTGGCTTTTTAAACGCCCTGTTCAGATCAATAGGCAGATGTGGCGGGTAGAGGCAGAAAAAGATGCTCCAGCTGGCTCAGCCTCCATGTCCAAAGCCCCAGAGGAGGCAGGACTTCAGGGATCAGTGCCCAGCCCTGTGGTTTCTTCAGGGAAACTAGAGGCTGGATCGGGAAGGAGCTAAGGGTTCAGTGGGGCTGAGAAGAGGAGGAAAGGGGCCTAACATACCCCAAGTTCTGTTCACTCTCATCAGTTCCTCTGGATCCAGGCATGGAGAGTTCCTCCGCCCTCCAGGCTGGACGCTGCTGGTCTCCGGGGCAGGCCAGCTCGGGGTGGAGGTGGCTGGGGGGATGGGGTCACAACCCAAGAGGCTGGAGTAGAGGCAGCATCCCAGAAGCAAGTTCCCTAATTACAAGCAATTCTCCAGGCAGTAAGGAAAATAGCCCTGTGGAAGGCTTGCTTCGGATCCAAGTGGTTTTAGAAGCAAAGGCGGTGGTGGAGTCTGGCACTTTCTCATTCAAATCAAGAGAAAAGGCTTTTCAGAAAGTGGGAGGTGTTCGCACAGACACATTTCTGGCTTGAGAGGCTACGGGTCCTTCTGCCTCTGAGGCAGGGTTGCTGGCTAAATGACCCCTGAAGACTCCTCCCAGCCTTTGGTTTTGTGACTTCCTTACTTCAGTTTGCAAACGTATGCACAGGGAGTAATAGGTTTTGAATATTATAAGCTCCATAACCCTCATCACGATAGGGTTTCATGATCAATGTCTCTCTCTCAAACTAGACCATAGATTCCAAGAGGGCAAGACTGTCTCCATCTGCTCATGGCTGCACCCACAGCCTAGAAAAGCTCCTGCACACGGGAGGCACTCAACACAGTACTGAGGAAGTGAATCAATGTACTAAATAGCGCAGGATCCATCCACTACAAGAACTTCTTGTAAAGGAAGTGGGAGAACAGGGAGCAATGTGAGCGGGGCTTGAATCCCAGGCTCTGTGAAGCACTGTGTTCATTTCATTCTTTCCATTACTGTGCACTGCACACTTACAACATGGCAGGCGCAGTTTTAGGTGCTGGGAATATAGCAGTAGAGACAAGCCGTCACCCTCATGGAACTTATGTTCTAGTAGGAGGAAATAAACAATCATTAACCCTCTAACCTCTATCACTTTCTTCTGGGTTAGGGGGACAACCAGCTGATGTGGGGAAAGGGCACTCCGAAAGAAGGAACAGCAAGTGCAAAGGTCCTGGGGCAGGAGTGTGCTTGGTGTGCTCAAGGAACAGCAAGGGGGCCAGTGGGGCTGAAAGAGAAAGAGTGAGGGGCATGGTGGAAGGGGAGGAGACTGGAGAAGGAGCCGAGGAATGATGCAACATAACTTGCATATTAAAGGGACGGCTCAGGCTGCTGTGTAAGATGGAAAGGGAGTAAGAATGGGATCAGGAAGCCAGTGGGAGATCACTGCACTAACCCAAGCAACAGATGAAGGGGCTCAGCCGGCGCCAGGAGGCAGCAATAGACATGAGAACTGATCAGAGCCTGCACGTGTCTTGAAAGTAGAGGTCAGAGGACCAACTGCGCAGCGTGAGAAAAAGAAAGGCTGCCTCCAGGATTCCTGGCCTGAGCAACTCATATCAATGAGTTGATATAAGGAAGACAATAGAGGGATGGTGTCTGGAGCCTGGAAGACCCAGAGTTCTGTTTGGGGCAGGGTAAGTAAGTGGCCCCTGCTGGAAATCATCACCCTGTGGGTGGTACTTTCAGTCCTGGGATGAGATGAGCACACTGAGGGAGTGAATGTGGAGGGGCAAAAAAGCAAGGAGGCCCAAGGACTGAGACCACGGATGGTGGTAGATCAGGAAGACCCACAGAGGAGACAGAGAAGGCACAGCCAGTGGAGTAGAGGGACTGACACGGGGTGGTGTCCCTGAAGTCAGCGTTTTAAGAGCATGTCACTGCCCATAGGCAGCACGATGCTCAGACCCAGGCTTTGACATCAGTCAGATCAGAGCCTGAACCTCACTCCTCAGCTGTGCAACCTTGGGCAAGTCACCTCCCCTCTCTGACCCTCAGTTTCCCCATCAGAGGGATGATGACAGCACTTGCCTCGCTGAGTGTTGGGGGGATTAGCTGAGCTCAGAGCCTGGCATGCAGTGAGCACTCAAAGGCTGGGGGCTGCAGCTGCCAGCACCTGGGGGATGCCTGTCTGGGTGTGGAGCCCGCATTGTCTCAGGTTCAGTCCTGGCACCAGCCAGTTAGCTTCATGGAAAGAAAATCCGTGTGTCACAGCCACTGTTGGAACCGAGAATCCAGACCTCTCCCACCTCAGCCTCACCAAAGCCAGCCAGCTTCTTGCGTCCTTGGTCACTAGGGCAGAGCTTCCCAGAGGGTGAGAATGGGAGATGAGCTTGGGCGGTAAATGGATCCCATAAAAGAACTGAACCTCAGCAGGAATGGACGTCTTTCACAGTTCTCTCCCTGCTCTTCTGGCTCCACTGAGAAAAAGCCCTGCATGGATGCTACTACATCTTTAACATCCCTCTAACATCTGACAAAGAGAAAGCAGGCCTCAGCTCAGTCTCTCCAGCCAAACCGAGCTGGACTTCAGGGACACTGCTGGGGTTTCTAAAGCCTCGCTGAGGTTGCGTTTATGATCACCTTCTATTTTACGGCAAGGAGACAAATTTTTCCATTCCCAAAAGAGATAAGAAGTTTTCTCTCTAAATAAGTTTAGGAAGGTAAAAAGATAAGTGAGATGATTTCAAGCAAGTGCTAAGCACATACGAACGCAGAGGCTTGCGGCATGTGTGAGGGTAGCAAGGGTGGACGGAGCAGGTAGCAAGGCAGATCTCACAAGGCAGTTCCCAAACGCCTGCAGTCTGGGGAAATGCTCCTTCACAAGAACCCAGGGGGAGAGTGTGGATGGCCCGGGCAGTCGTCTTCCCGCTGAAGAACTAAATCAGGGTCACTGCCATCTGCTGAGACTCAGGAAGGTTCTGCATGAGCACAGATCAGGGAGAGAGCAGGGCTGCAGCCTGTCTACCCAAGACCTTGTCCTTCTAGTTGGTGGACCTCACTACTAGGGTGACACGGACAAGCTGCTCCAGGGGACTGCCGACCAGGATGTTAGCCTCTCTGCCCCCATCTACCCAGTGATTCCAAAGGCACGCCGCCTCCCCGATCCTGCAGTCATCTACACCAAGATGAGCTCAGAGAGCCCAGTCAGGACCTTCCTCGGGACCTGTGACCTCATTCTCTTGGGCTCAGGCAGGATCAGTGTAGACCCCCATCCTTCAGGATGGACAATAGGACCCAGGCATCATGTGAGCCACTCTACCCTAGATGCTGCAGGGCCTTGAGTTAAGAGCACCTACCCCATTCACAGGGAATCAATAAGCATTTACTATGTGCAGTGGAGGGGCAAAGCCAATCCAGACACATCCAGCCCTCAAGGGAGCTTACACTTGAGTGGGGTGAGATGGACAATGATCGAATCAACAAATATACTGGGGGTCGGGACAGAGAAAAGCAGGGTGAGGAGGCCTGCAGACAGGGTGGTCAGGGATGGTCTCTGGGAAGGGGTGGCCTGGGAGCTGAAGAAAAGTCTGGCAATGGCAGCCCCGGGGGAAAGGACATTCCAGGCAGAGGTGACAGCGTGTACAAAGACCTGGCCACAGAGTCAGCCTGGGACTTCTGGGAGCATCAGAAGGGCCACAGGGCTGGTGCAGGAAGAGACAGGGCAGGGAGAGGTTGGCAGGACAGGGTCCCAGGGCCAGATTCTGACAAGTGTCCCCTCCTCATCTTGAGAGCAATGCCGAGCTGCTAAAAGGTCTGACACAGGGGAGTGATGTGACCACATTTTTGTTTTTATTTGTGCTTTTGGCTGCTGCACAAAAAAATGGATAAGAGTGGGTCTGGAGTGGAAGCAGGACGGGGTGGGGTGGGCAAGCAGCAGGAGACTATCAGAGACTCCAGGTAAGAAGCAATGGTGGTTTGGATCAGGAGGGTGGTGTTGGAGATGACACGTGCTTAGAAGGCAGCACCAACAGGGCCTTGGCAATGAGTCCCACAAGCATGAGGGAGAAAAATTATCCCTAAGTTTCTGGCAGCTGATGCCAAGATGATGTCATTTGCAGCAGTGGGGAAGATGGGGGACGAGCAGATGGGGAGAGTCGGGACACCCTGAATTCCCTGTTGCACATGTTACCTTTAAGAAGCCTGCCCCACATCCCAGAGCATCCTGTGGACAGTCAGGCATTGAGTCTGGAGTTCAGAAGAAAGGTGGGAGCTGGGAATGACCACTTGGAGATCGCCAGCAAGTGTGTATTAAAAAGTGGTGGGGGGAAAAAAGAAAAAGAAAGTGGTGGATGCGCATTGGGTCGACCCACGTGGCGGCGTCATTCCTTCCATCGCACAAGCCGGACTTTCCCTCGAGCACCCTCGGGTACGTCGCAGCGTTTCCTAACGGGACGTGGCGAG